TATATATATATATATATATATATATATATTGATTAATTATTTGCATTGGCAACATTTTATTCATCTTTGTTAAAGTATTTCGAGGAATAACGAGTCTTTACAGTCACGCACGCACTTACGTACAGTAGCCTTTCATTGACATAATCATAGCTCGCACGAGCGTTGACATAATATTTACATTTATCAATGACTTAAATTCGCAAGCTTTCTTAATTTCTTCCATCGTAAGAGTATGGATATCCTCGGGTGTGCAATTCCTCATCCAAGAATCACTCCACGTACTGCTAAAACGTCAGGATCGAAATTATCGGTCTCGCTCGTGACTCGTCTATGCGCACACTCTATCTCACAGCACACTCTAAGCGCTCCATATTGAAAAGGGCATCCTTATCTACCATTACCATCGAGTATTGCCGAGTAAGAGAAGAACTTATTTATACTCGGAATATTGACTACGATCATTTACTTACGTTGTTTGTGTTTGGCTGGCCCAAGCGAGGCAGCCCCTCACGTCACACATATTTTTAGCGTTTTCCAACGATTCTTTCATATTTGCAGTCACATGTCATCTTCGTCGACCAAATATGCGAAACGTTCTTGAATAATTCTTGAATTCCATTGGATTTGTATAGTCGACAGGCGAAGGATTTAACAGTAATGTTACAAGCAATTGTATGGGCCAAGTAAATTCAATCTACTCACTTTAAGCACCAAAATATTGACAATTTGACAATTTAATTAAATTAATAATAAACTCTTGTCAAGAAACGTGTACGTGAATTTTATTTAAATAAGTCCGCTGTACAATATCGCACTTAAAGTATGTTCAATATAATGTTTAAGTATTTTTACGGTGACGGGTAACGAATCCGTCTATACTAATGAATAAATATAAAGGTAATTATTATTGAATGTAGTTCGACAAGTCGTAATATATTGCAGCGAGTGTAATTTGTGATCTGCGAATGGATAACGAGCGATCGCGAAATATTTGCGATAAATGTCTTAAAGTATCTCGGAATGCGCATAATAATATTCTCGTCATTGGAGCAGCGCGTCCGTCCGGTCACCTCAATACTCCATTCTAATGGTATTCGAATAATTTTTGTCCCATTGGTCATTCATAAGTCGTACGTTTATTAGCGAAAGCAATTACCGGCAAGGAACAATGGGCACTTAATGCTCCACTTGCTTAATACTCGAAGACAAAAGGAGACGGCGGCAAGAAATAGCTGCGCCCACCTGGGCTAAAAAGATGCGCGCGGTCGGCAAACTTATCGCGCTAGGCGTTAAATGAGGAATTTCGCTGGCAAGAGCCGTAGGAGCGTCAAGCCCGATAAGATCAATCCCCACGCTCTAGAAAAGTGGCAGGGATAAACGAGATTGGACGGTAAACAAAAACTAAAAAGCCCCACTCACATTTTCATATCCATCCAGATAATAATCTTCGACTCTCGTTTGCCCGTAGGAGGATGTTCCCCACCTGCAGAGTGTCGTTCAACGGGCTGAGGCCCGAAGGCTTCTACGCGGTGCTGATGGACATCGTGCCCGTGGACGAGAAGCGATATCGCTATGCCTATCACCGTAGCTGCTGGCTCGTAGCTGGCAAGGCCGATCCCCCGGCGCCGGCGCGCCTCTACGTTCATC